CTGGTGGTAATCAGTTCTTATCAGTCAAAAACTCTTTAAACCCACCAAAGGTTTGAATTCTTGAAGCCGACGTTGTAAAGCATCAATTACAAACTACAGGGGGAAAAAAAGTTCAAGAGAGAGAAAAGGAAGAACATGAAACTTGCATGCAGTTGAGAAAATGAAACATTAAGTTTTGTGACCAAAATTCACGAAAACAGCTCACACTTGTAACTGCTGATTTGTCTGGATGTATATATCAGTGTGTCCATATGCACACAGAGAGAGAGAGAGAGAGAGAGAGAGAGAGTTGATGGCTACTGTAGAATGGGGGAGGGTGCCAAAGCATTAAAGTTTGAAACGGCTACCAACTTCCCCCACGGTCATTAATTGGGTGGGTGCAACTCCCATCACTTGGATCAGCGAAATCGTTCACCGACACCCACCAAATGCTTTGTCAATTTAAAATTCTCTGATTATCTCAATTAAAAATTAATCTTTTGTTTATAACATGAACTTAAGTTTTGCTGAAATTTGTTGACTCGTGTTGCTTGCAGTGGTGTAATCGCTAGTGTTGTAAACTCACAATTTAGGGGAGTTATCAGTATGAAGAGTTGATAGTATTAATTTGACGTGTGGAGTGTTGACTAGCGGATTCTATTACGTCACCAGTTTTGCCTCCACTTTGGGCTCCAGTTGAATTAATTATTATTGATGAATAATATCATATTTATATATTGGGGTGTTGGTTAATTGTTGTTATGAATATGTTTATCTGGTATAATTTGTTTAGGAATGAGCAATTTTTGTGTATACCTATATGTTAAAAGTTAATGTAAAAGACCGTGACGTAAGAGTAAACTTTAGGAACGGAATTATCATTACTTAAGAATGTTTATTCCATTATTTGGCTCGTGGTAATAAAAATTTATTCTCATTTCTAATCATTCCTTAGGAATAACTAATACTACAAAACATAGGATTAGTGATTACCAAATTAAACGTGATATTGCCCATTCCCAAATCGACGATAATGAACCCCAATTGACCTGACCAAAAAACTCGATGATCCTAATCTCTTCCCCTTCTCTGTTCTCTGTTCTCCTCTTATTTTTCTTCTTCTTCTCTATTCATCGTTTGTATCTGTCTTTGTCTCCCCCCTCACATCACCTCAACGACTACTTCTCCCTTATTAGAAACCATGGCAGTATATCTATGTTTTGCCTCCTCATCTCCTCGTGATGCAAGGGATCATAACAACAATCGGGACTAAATCTATGACCATACAAGATTTGACCTTGCCACCAATTTTAGGTAATATCTCAATCAATTTCGTCAACAATCTCACATCTCTTTTAGAGTTTTGTAAGGGTTAACATATTTTCTTTCTTTTCTTATTTCTTGAACACATGATTGTCAAAGGAGGACAATGTTGAGAGAATACAATGTATTGTTAGATTTAAACTTAGTTGGGATGGTTACATTGGTTTTTCTTTATTTTTAGGGAGAATTACATGTGAGGTTTGTCAATTAATTATTTAGACCTATTGACATTTGAAATATTACACACAGACCTCCTAAAATTTGTACGCGCGTAACATTTCGGCCTTGTTGTAAATATATCAGTTAATAAATTATACTTAAACCCCCATAAAAATTGTAGGTATATAATGCGTAGACTTATTAAGTTTAAAATATTATACTTAGACAGATGTTTTGGCCTCCCGAAGTTTAAAAAAAAAAAAAAATCAGTTGCTGCTCGCCCAAGAGGCCCTTTGCTAGTCCAGGACACTCTCTGTTCGCTCAAACTACTCACCCAGTTGTTTGCTCGAAATTTTAACCGTAATGTTTGCTCCGTTACTCCAAATGAGGCTTATAATATATCAAATCGAAGTTCTCGACGAGCCCTACAAAACTGATTGCCTTTGGTTTGTGACTAATACCGTTAAAAGTCCAAATAAGTCTTAAAAGCATAGGTTTTGGCCTCCCGAAGTTTTTTCGGTTATGCTGATCAACTGAAAATTCAAACTTAAATTGAATGCCCTTCTTTCCAAGTTTCGTTGGACGCAGGGCATTGGGGAGCAAATGATAGGCCAAGCCCAAGGAATCAACTCATGTTATAAGCCCGATTTAAGCTAAAAGCTCATTTTCAAGAGATCCAACAAATCCAGCTCAATGTGGTCAACTCGATTAAACTCATCAAGCTCAAGGAGCTATATCAGCAGAGACGCATGCAAAGATTATCCAAAAACCTCCTCCAAGCCACCTTGAAGTAAGAGTTATCTAAAAGCTTCATCCAAGTCGTCTTGGAAGAAGTCAACTCTCATTCTCATCCCTTGACCGAGTCTCATGGAGAGCACCTCAATCATTTCGCGTCGTTGAGAAGAAGTCGTCAGTTCCACTAGAATAGTTATTTAGTTGCTATTAAGTCGTCTAATCTATTATGAAGCGATTATAAATTGTAAGCTCCATTAATACTTGGGGGACAGATCACACTCTGTTGAGCAAGACTCTCTCTTCTCCGTCTCAGCTTGTAACTCTTTGCTCTCTTGCATACTTAAGTTAATAAAATACCTAGCGATCCTAGCCATTCAAAAGTGGACGTAGGTCACTTTGACTAAATCATTATAATTCTCGTCTTTTCTCTACTTTAATTACTGTATTTATTACTCATACTTGATAGATAGTGTGCAAAATCATATATATATATATATATATATCAAATTGACAAAATAGTTTATTGCACCATATTTATTGACAAGAGGAAGTATCTATCAACAAACGAAGTGATTAAATCTTAATTCCGATTTCTTGAAGTAGTCACGTTTACTTTGATGATAAAATATAAATCAAACGATTTATAATTTTAAATCTAAAATTATTAATTTTTTATATTGCTTTTAAAAATTTTTATTGATTGTTATAAGTTGCATTGTATCAGATAATCGTAAAAATATTAACAAGATTACTAAAAATAATAATTTATAAATATAATATTTGTATCTTAATTTTTAAAAATTTTCGATCCTTCTCCTTGTCACGAAACCTTTGACTAGTTTGGTGGTGGTTTTGATGCCCTCCCGCCATTTGATTTTCAACAAATTTTTTCAATATATAGTGACTAAAATTATTAGAATGTACATGAATTAAAATATTTGTGTTGGGGTGTGTGTGTATGTACATTTGTGTGTTGTGGAGTGTGTGTTCTGAGTTTTTGAAATTTGGAGGAAAAAATGTGTGTTGAGTATGTGAAATTTAGAGGAAAAATATATCTTCTATAAGTTCAAACATCTATCTGATTTATTTTATAGAATTGTATTAAATTATAATTATATTCTATTTGAGACTTTTTTAAGAAATATGCATTATTTAATTTCATCAAGTCTGCATTATTCTTCCAATGTAAATCATTAAAATATCGTAGTTGCAATGAGAGTCTTGATTGGTTTGTGGATAAGCATAGTTGACTTACTTAGCACAAAAAAAAAAAAACAAAATACATTTCCACTTGTGTAGCTAATAGTTGGCCACGTGGAAACAAGTCGGCACACGGAACCCATAAAAATTAATAACTTGTCAGGTAAACAAATAATTTTTCACTCTCCTGCAATACAAGTCTAAGTAGAGCTTACCTTTTTCATTTGAGGTTTTATTATTGGTAGGTGATACCATGTCATCAATGGTGACGTGGTATCACTGTTACATTCACTATTTACTCCCTTTTCTGGAATCTACAATGACGGATATAGCCTTTTGTTTTTTCGTCATAATATTTATATTTATAATATAAAATAAAATTAATTTTAATAAATTTATTAGACGATCAAAAATAGATTCATTCAACGTTCACTAACATCTCTATTAAAACTATTCATATTATACTGTATTTTCAGGTACGAATTATCCTTAATAACTTATACGATTGAACAATAAATTCTGGTTAGAATAATTAATAATCCTTCAAATAATTTGTTTTGTGTTGCTTAGAGTTTTATTTTATTTTATTTACTTTATAGCTTTAATTTCTCGATCCTCAACGTTTACATTTTCGTTCAATTAAGAATAACGGTTTAAATTAACCAGTAAGAGTGATTACGTGCGTCACATCCGATCACAATTAAGGAATCAGTGTTTTTTATTCAACTTGGCAAGGTTTTAAGAATTGTTTTTGAAACATGATCATATGAGAAGAAAACGATAAAAAGTGATATAAATGGGAAAATTGAAAGGATTGAACAAAAAAAAAAAAAAAGAATGAGGACTAAAATAATACTTAACGCATAATTGATATACAAATTATTGTATTTTGTCCATAAATTATGAGATAACAATAAAGTGGTGGGAGAGTGGTAAGGTTGAGACATGGTGAAGAACTCCTTTTATTATTTTAATTATTGAATTTCGTAAAATAATTATTTAATTGTGCGACATCTACTTATCCACTTTTTTTTTTATTAGATAATTTTATATCATATCACATGACGTAGCGTAACAAATGACACTCAAATTTTTACCGATAAACGATACCCAATTTAATTTCAAGGGGTAATTTAAGTGGTAAAGTGACAAATTATAAATTTAGATATTCTTAATTTGAATTTTGATAATTTTTTAGGGTTAGATCATGAATAATTTATTTTTTTATGAATAACTTAGTTCTGATGTAGATGATTTGTCTTTAATCAGACTTAAGAGATGATTAATTGAGATTAGTATTAATTGAGTCGGACACCCTGACTATTGAAAAAAAAAAAATACTAAATTTTATTACTGGTTAATGGAATTGAAAGGACATAAATTAAAAAATTGAGGTACTGAAAGTGGAATATTAAAAATATAAAAAAATAGTATTTATTTTTTTTCTAATTTTGATCCTGATATCCTTTAAACGCTGAACTCAAATTAGCAACTCCTCCTAGTCCAACTCTATAATAAACCGTTCCCACAGCCAAGCACCGTCTAGCTCTCTCTCTCTCTCTCTCTCTCTCTCTCTCTCTCTATCACACACAAACACACAGAAGATGTCAGGTTACCCCAACAATTCCGGCTACGGTTACGGACCCTCGCCTTCCCAACCCTACTCAGCCCCCTACGGCGCTCCACCACCGGCCCAACCTTACGGCGCGCCACCACCGGCCCAACCTTACGGCGCGCCACCACCGGCCCAACCTTACGGCGCGCCACCACCGGCCCAACCTTACGGCGCAGCACCACAATCAGCTCCATACGGTGGAGATTACAAACCCCCAAAAGACAACAAGCTATCCGCTCCATACGGTGCTCCGCCACCATCTTCCTCTGCTTCTGGATATCCTCCTCAATCTGCGCCGTACGGCAGTCCATTTGCTTCTCTTGTGCCGTCGTCTTTCCCACCGGGAACGGACCCAAATGTGATATCCTGTTTTCAGATGGCCGATCAAGATGGGAGTGGTTTCATAGATGATAAGGAGTTGCAGAGGGCTTTATCTTCTTACAATCAGAGTTTTAGCATCAGGACTGTTCATCTTCTCATGTATCTCTTCACCAATACCAACACCAGAAAGATCGGTACTGTCTTCCCCCTCTCTCTCTATCTCTGAGTATGTGAGTGGTGCGGACGTTAGCGTGTTGTGCATGTTAGCAGAGAAGATTAGGGTAATGCGCATGTTAGCACTTAATAGCCGGATTTGTTCCAATTTGTGTTTGTCTTCAGATTGAAAAAAGAGTAATAATATTTAGTTCAAAAAATCTAACATAATCTAATTTAAGAATAATTTTTATTTCATACCATGAAAGATTAAATTTTTATATTAGACTCTTGAAGTATTAAAAATGTTACAATGTGACCTTTAATTCATTTGTGCCGACTAAGTTTTTTTAGTTACGATAAGCCCTTGATTGTGTCGGTTAAAAGCTCCGGTGCAGGCATGTCAACTTACTTCACATGTCTCAAGCTGGTTAATGGTCAAAGATAGTTGGGATTGGAGGTAGCACCTTGTGTTTTATTCTTCAGTACCATAGTAAAAATAGGTCTTTATTTTGGTGCACCACGGGCGAACCTTCCCGATTGCTTGAACTTGTGGGCCAATTTTCTGTTGTTCGATGAAAAATGCTATTTAGACATAATTTGGAAGTCTAATCAATTATGACTTTTGGTGATTTGGATTGCGAATCCATCCCATTCCCATTTGGAATTGATGTACCTAGATCTTGGGTCATCAACCGATTAGTGAATTCTGATACCTACTAAACTCTAAAGTTTGGCATTTCAATAATTCTTTGCACTCTATCCCTCTATTTTTTTTTTTTTTTTTGGGGGGGGGGGGGGTAGCAGGTTATTTCAGGAAATTAAGTTTTCCTGTATTTGTGTAAGAATGCTAGAGGTATTGGCCATTTTTATTTATTGTAAATGTTGAAGTTTCCATGCTGTTGACTTTGTGGTAATATCTTCAAAATAGGGCCAAAGGAGTTCACCTCAGTGTTTTACAGTCTTCAGAACTGGAGGGTAAGTTGAAGAACAATTATTTATTTTTATCATGGAATTCACTATTATTAATATCTATTTTATTTACTTCTGACTTGATTTGATGTTCATCTCTAATTGGTATCTTTAGGGTATATTCGAGAGATTTGACAGGGACAGGAGTGGCAAAATTGATATGTCGGAATTGAGAGATGCACTCCTAAGCCTGGGGTTTGCAGTTTCACCTGCAGTTTTGGAGTTGCTGGTCTCTAAGTTTGATAAAAGTGGTGGAAAGAACAAGGCGATTGAATATGACAATTTCATCGAGTATGTGTAGAATACTATTCAATTCAACCTTTTCAAGCAGGATAACCATATACAGAAAGCAAAAAGAACATTCCATACAAAATTCTCTAAAAATATTGATGTGGCCTGCTAGATTCTGTTCATTTCAAAAGAAAAGGCTACATATGTCATAGAAATATCAGAGTCATATTATTATGCATAGGACTTTGTTAAAAGTTTTGTTTGTAAAAGTATTTTCATTTTAAGGGATATATTGAAATGCCTTTTTAAGTTTCAGGGATCTAAATTTTGTTTTGGTGCTTAATTTCGGTCAACTTGGTAGAAATGAGATGGAAGCAAAGGAGAAAATTTGAAACCTTTGGGCAAATCATCGATCTAACAAAGCGAAATATAGCGAAACTCATTGAAACAGACCAAACAAATAGAATTCGGTACTGAACTATTGTTTCATTTTTGTTTCCATAGAATTTTGATTTCAAAACAAAATTTAGTTCCTCATTTAGATTAAAATTGTGTATATATGTTCAATGTTAATCAATTTCTAATATTATACCTCTTTTTGACTATGTAATTTCAGGTGCTGCCTTACTGTTAAGGTACTTTTTTCAAACTCATTTTCCTGGTTGAACATCTTTTGGACACTCTTCTTGCTGTTCAAGTACATGATGCTCCATTCTGAGGATTTTGATAATGGTATGTATGTCTGACTGGGATGTGGGTGTTGCAGGGACTGACTGAGAAATTCAAGGAGAAGGACACCACTTACTCTGGTTCGGCCACTTTCGCGTACGAGTCATTCATGCTCACTGTTTTACCTTTCCTTGTTGCCTAATTGTGAAGACCTCTGGTTTGTTTGAGTTTCATGTAAGAAGCTGGTGCGCATTTGCGTTGACAGTGCTTTGTAATGACTTATTGCAGTTATGTTTACAACTTTGTTAGTTGATGGAGTGGGTTCATTTTGAGATATTATTCATATTTGACTTGGAAGCAAGTTTATCATTTTGAAATGATCACCGGAGTCTTTTGAAGATTGTGAAGGCATCGAAATTTGTAGTCAGGAAAAGCTTGTCTAGCTCAGTTGGTAGAGCGCAAGGCTCTTAACCTTGTGGTTTACTTACTGGGAAAAAAAAAATTGTAGTCGGGGGTGGATTATCCCGTGACACACTGATATTTGATACTTAAATTTGGTTTTTCATTGAAAAGAAGAGCTTTTAAGTGCATTCCTTTGAGATCAGTGTTGTGAAAGGGGAGCCTAGGCATTGAGACGCAGGTGTAACGCTTCAGTAAGTCCAAGCGAAACGAGTGTAGAAAAGCGTAGATTCAGAATAGAAAGTGTGCTTGGGGCTTAGGCGCAAGTCCCTTGAAGCCATGCTTTCATTATGTTGCTCTTTTTGTTGAATTTGGTTAGACTTTGATTGGCCTTAGGCATAGATATTATCTAATGTTCATTTTCATTGTTAGATCAATGCTAAAATGGATCATATTGGGCTAGTATGTAATTGATTTAACGCTGAAAATTGATGGAATGACTTAATTTTGACCTCTCCCCACAAAAAAAAAAAAAAAAACTCTTTTTCCCTCCTTTTCCTAAGATACCCAAGAAAAAAAAAACCACTTCTATATTTGTTGTCACTGATAAAATATTGTGTTCACCGATTATAACATGGCATTGCTAAGTAGTATACATTAAGTATAAAATATTATACAGTATCAATCAATTTTTACCACTTATAAAGTTGTCATAATGTGTTTATATAAAATGTCTCATAGCTTGATGGTCCGCGTAATAATAATGACATGTGCATCTTTCACGATTTGTTAGATTTCTCTTTACAATTGTTCTCAATTTATGTACACATTTTTTAAAAAAATTGCTTTTTTAAAAAAAAAATTCTACAAAAATCTTCAAATAGGTTACCAGTTTATATACAAATCATATATTTAATTTTCTTGTATTCACTTAATCTTCTCAGATTCTTGTCAAGTCTATTAAATATAAACAGTAAAAAAAACACATCCAAAGAATATGTTAAACAAATAATTCTAGAAACTTGAATAAAAATTGGAATTATAATTCAGAATTATACACGTTCAACACACGTGTGTATGAACTAGTATATATATGTATATATATTACTTTACTATATATATCATCGGTTAAAAAGAATCCCAAGAGAAAGTAATCAAGAAAAAGAGTAGTCATTACGTTTGTGGGGTAAAATATAATTATTACTTAAATATTTAATTTTAAAGTATACAAACAATTAGGGGTGCTAATTCGAGTTTTTTCGACTTGGCTGACAAATTCTGACATGACACGACACTATAATACAACATGAACACGACACAAATTAATGGATTTGGATTGATTATTTTTTGACATAAATCTGCATATAACACAACCCACTAACATGAATTACAACCTGTTTAACCCAAAATTAACTGGTGTATTTAATCTGATCGACACAAACCCGACTAACCTGTTTTAGACCCAAATGACCTGCCACTATATAAAAGAACCTAACCCTAAAACCCACGCCTCATTTCACATCCTTTCTCATTTTTTCATTTCTGGGCGAGCTGACTCCTCTCCTCACTCCTTCAAGTCAGCTCTTTCTCTCGTATTACTATTGACTTACGAAGTGTGGTTACAGTGGGGGCTAAATGACCACACATTAGGTTCCATAATCCATTGTTACCCATCGGTGTAAGATAACAAGTTCAGTTTTCATGGTAAACAAGCAAATATTAACCATAATTTTTTGAATTGACTGTGAAAATATTTTAACATAGTTTTTTTTTTTGTTTTCGTTTTTTGATTGAGACTCAAATGAAGTTCAACTTTTGGTCCTTTTGTCTGTTTTGGTTCATAAAATGAGATAAAATACTTTATCACTTACCTGTAAACAAGAGATGATCGAAAAAGTGGAGCTGGGTATTTCACTTCAAACACAAGTTAACCAAGGTTTACACCTGGAGCCCAACAATTTATTTTGTTAAGACGAACAGTTTCACTTCTGCCCAGTATTGTCGGAAAAGACGAAGGATTCTGACTAAGTGAATACCTTGAACTCTGCATATACATAATCGATTTCATATTTATTCTTTAATTTTGGCCAAATAATTTGAGATTGAGAATCATTGATGTAAGAACTTCCTACTTCCAGCCCTCCTTCCGAGCGGGGTCCGAATCTATTTGTGATGCTTTTTAACAATGTTTGTTAAGATCACAACCCAGAAGATGTAACACGAAAAAAATAAATCTTTATGAAGAAAGATTAAACAACCAAGTTTAAATGAAATTAAGATTTGGGTATAATATAATTTGTGTGATTCATCCACCTCTGTTGGTGGATGCAAAGATCTTTCATCTTATCCAGAAACATAGATTGGGAACATTCTTTGTGGACAAAACTGTTTAGTTAGTTCGTTGAGCACTATTCGTCCATGCTGAGTAAATGAGCAGGCGGGATCCACCTGACTCATTTTACACCAAGGTCATTTTTTCTACCCAGATTTGCTGACATGGCTGCCTGCCTGTAAATCTAATGTTTTTAAGTAAGCTGTAAGAATTTTCTCTCTTCTTTCCAAAGGAGAAGTTTCAATCTTTACGGCTAAATCTAATGAGCTATTAGTGAAGCTAGACATGGCAACTGTTAGTTCTTGGATTGATATTAAATGTTTGGAGAAATAATTCAACAGAGTACGGTGTTTTTTCTTGTAACTTTTGGCAACCAAGAAAAAACAGACATGGAAAAGATGGCATGGGAGACTTTCTTCCCCTAAAGGCAACTTGCATGAAGTGGTTGGTGGAGATTCAGACGGTGTTTGATAAAATTGAAAATTAAAAATTGAAAGTTGAAGTTTGAAAGTTAATTTTGTAGACTATTTAATATTTATTGAAATCTAAGTGCTGAATTGAACTAAACTATTTAATAACTATATAGAGTTGACGTCTGAAATAAATTAATTTTCAATTTTATCCTTTCATTCTTTAATTTGAAAATATTTATAAAATGTAATAACATAAATCATAATCACTATTATTATATTGTAGTCTACATTTAACAAATATTTGATTAAAATAAATAAATAAATAATATCTGAATAACACAATAAATGAACAACAACAAATTAAATAACATAATAAGTGAACAATAACATCTGATAAAAAAAAACAATAACTAATAAATAATCAAATAACATTGAAAAAATTAAATAAATTAGATTTCATTAATAATATTTGTGTGCGTGTGTAAGTATGTGTGTGTGTAGTGCATAGGTCTGTGTGTAATTATAATTACGTATGTGTATTTTTGTTACAAAAGACAATAGAAAGAAACAAAAAAAAGAATAGATCAACAAGAAGAACATATAGGTTAGGGGAATTGAAGAGAAGACAAATTAGAGTTTTAATAGGATTGTAAAATATTTCGGAGTATAATTATCATATTATAAATATTATTAAAGATAATTTTGTTGAGCGTTTTCAGTTTTCAAAATTAAGTAAGGTATTTCTTACTTAATATTATAATCTATTTTTAAAAAACACTTAACATATTAAAAGAGTTTAAATTTTAATTATCAAATATGTTTAATTAATAAATTTTGAATACATTCATTTTAAGTGTTGAATTTGAGTTTACAAATACACCCGTATACTTGAATTCAAAATTTGCTTAATGGACTAAGGGTCCCACAAATTTCGGATTCTTGCAATCTATTCTCCAGGGAATATATTGTTTGGTAATCCATTGGACCTACCACATTTGAGATTTGGGATAAATAATGGAATCATGAAGGAGTTGCAGGGCATTCATTCGGTGGAAAAGGGCCCCACCACTTTTTTTTTTTTTTTTTTATGGATAGGTATCCCACCACTTGTTGATGAAGACCATAATATTTATTTAAGGAGTGTGAAGACATTGAAAGAAAACAGGGTGGGCCATGTAGTAAGTGTATAGGTTTTTTGAAGCTCTACCTTCCTTGCTTGTTTCATTAGAAAATACTTATTAGTTATTTCCTATTGTATGAACGGGTAATGTTTATCTCTTCCCTACTTTTATATTTTGATTATTAATAATTTTTTATCTTACATGGGTTTAACTTAAAAAAGAAAAAAACTTATATAGACTTTAATCTCATTTTTCCTCAATAAATCTTGAACTAATTTTTTTTATGAATAAAATATTATATATTGTCAATCAATTTCTACCACTTAGTTGTCATAATGTTTTATATAAAAAAAAATCAATTTGTGGGTTTGACAAGAAAATGTTACGACAATTTTTTATCAGGTATAGACACTACGCGACACTCTCACCTTATATCTTGTAAGCATACAATATTTTCTCATAGAATGTATTTTGCTTTCTACCACCTAGCAGTTGTTAAAGTTGTTCGATGACATTACCAGACATCTGTTGAAAGAGTAATATTATATTGATCAAATTTATTGACTAAATTTTTATCCCAAATGACATGACAACATATTATTTAGAGTCTTTATTGAGCCCCAAATAATATGACACCAAATAAAAAAGTTTAAGTCAACTGTCATGTCATTTGTGATAGATATTTGGTCAATCAAACATTGCTTATGTTGAAAATATTCAACTGGTGGATGACCACCCCACCTGTGATAGGAGGTGGATGGTCACCCTAAACACACTGAGAATAGAGAAGCAAAAATCTCTCTCTTTCTCTTTTCTCTCCAGTATTCTATCTTTATTTATTTTTTAAATTAGTTATTTGCACCTAATTTTGTAACAACGCCTACTTCATACCTATATATTTTTCCCTCCAATTTGGAAATCACAAGGAAGCTATATTGGTGAACCTATTGTCTTCAGTTGAGAGCAGTTGCATCCTCTCTTTGATTGTGCTCGATGCATATATCATACCATCAGACCCAAGATGCCTAATTTGTAGACTATTTTGAAGTCAATTCAAACTTTTTTCTTTCCGAGTTCGTTTTAGGGAGAATCGCACTTTATACCCCAAAATTTTTCAAAACTTATTAATTTGCACTTTCAATGATTAATTTTTTCACATTACACCATCAAAATGTCATAAACTAGTTGCAATGTGACTCTCACACTAATTTCCATTATAATGTTTGTCAAATCTACTATTGGCCCCAATAAACCCAAATTCATGCACCACCTCTAATATGATCTAACCTTTAAATTACAATTATACATCGATTGTGACAAGAGATTCCGGTAAATGAATTTTGATGATTGTAAACATGATGTGATATTCTTCTCAAAACAGTGCCTTTGGCTTTTACAATTGGATATGTTATAGCTTCCCAATTGACATAACTACCACCTTAATAGTCATGATGAATGAGCAATACATGGCTATTTTGTCATTACCATTATCAATAGTCTTCCTTCTCCTAAATCAAGATATATGTGTTTTATCAACATTTGTATGACATTACAAAATCAAAGTACAACTAAAATCATATATTAAACTTATAATACAAAAACATATTAAACTTTATGTGAATTAGGGAGCATAAAGTAGATAGCAAACAAGCTTGATTTCGACTTTATTGTATAATTACATTCAAAAGGAGAAAGAAGGGGCTTCTATTTCCTACTAGTACGCGACTATAGCAGCCCTTAACTGCTGGAGAAGAGCTCTCCAGAGGAGCTAGACGAGAGAACACGTAAGCGCTCCCAAAGGACGACCTAACCCATGGTCGAATTTAAACCCCAAAGACTTCTACTTCACTAGGCCTAAGTTGATGATGCCCCATGAAGTCTTCGGCCATGACCGCTCCTTAGCCTTAATCCACATAACCCTAGCCCAAGCAATCCAACCTTCCCATGACATCCTCTTATCCCAAGGATTTCCCCACTCCAACAAAAGGGTTAGCCCTTCTTGTACCTCTCTCTCAGCATCCTCAAACCTCTCTTTGCTCAAATACAGCTGACCCAACACCAAGTGAGGCTCTCCAATAAAAGGGTTCTTTTCCACACACCTCAACAGCTTCTCCTCAGCTCTCTGCAAACCCTTCTCAGACGAATCACACATAACCTCCCAATACAAGTCCCTGGATTCAATCTGGTCTTCTGCATCCAAAACCCTTGTGCAGTTCTCGAAAACTGGTGGGATGACAAGCTCAATACCTTCGTACTCTCTATCTTTTAATACCCCATCATCACCACTTCTTTTACTTTCCTCCATGTATATCTCTTCTTCTCTCACTAACATTGTGTATAATGCACCCATTCTTGATATTGAGTTCATCCATAGTCCTGGCCTGCCATCACCAGGCCATAAAGCAGCATTATTATCTCCAGAAAACTCCAGACGGCCATTGCTATTCTCAAACAAGACGTCTTGATAACCAAAAAACTGATCACTGAAATCAACTATTGTCATCAGAAGGAACACTGCAATGACTCTCCGGGAGAGCACAACTTCTTCTCCCGTCTTTATGTGCTTCACTGTGATCCCATTAGCAGGAACAAGAGACTGTAGTTTCACCCTCCAAAACTCTTCCTCGTTGAAAATCCCAATTTCCTTAGATTTCCTCAACGAAATCTTCGAAAGCTCAAGGTGTTCGACCAGTTCTGAATCAGTGTATTGGAACAGAAGATCATCATGAATGAGAGGGTGACGCTGGACAACACAAAACAAGTACATCAAACGCTCTGCAGCCTCACCAACAAGGCCACGCACGGTGTCACGGTCCGTGGCAGCATCGAATATTGCAAGGTTATTGTAAGAGTTTGAGTAAGCAGAGTGAAAGAGGCCGCAAAGGCATATACACTCCTGGGCTTTCCAGAGCTTTAGAATACGGTAAACATCGAAAAGATGGTATTGGAAGGAGCCATGCCTGTGCCAACACTCCCCGGCACCGGCAGAGCGTAAGACAGCGATGACAGAAGGTAGGTTTTTGTCGATGGATTCGAGCTCTCCACGGAGAAATGGACGGGCTGATTGTAACAGGGTTTCAAGGTATTGGTTCTCGGATGAAGAGAGAGAAAGCGAAGACATTTTTGATTGATGAGAGCTGTTAGAAAGTGTGATTGTATAGTGAAGGAGGAGAAGAAGGACATTTTTGATCGTATAAAAAATAATTGGAGGTAACAAGCTATCATCGTCACGTGATGTACTCGATTAACAGTAATTCTATTGAGACATAAAAAAAATTAATTTAATTTTGTTAATCTAATTTGATTTTATTATAATCGTTAGATTAATCTTAATTTTCAATTTTTGATGATGCCTACAATTAATCCAATGTTATAATAAATTAATTTAATAAATTACGTAAGTCCCAATAACATTGTTCATCAATCAATTATAAATAAAGAACTAACAGGTCCCACCAAATTGTCTAATTATCAATAATTTTTATATTCAAAATTATTATCCAAGATTATTGAGATTCATTTATTCTCTTTATTTGTTTCCTATTCATTAATTGAATAGTATTAGTTGCATTTAAAAATTTAACTTAATTTGTTGACCTAACAATATATTTTAATGTCAAATGAATCAAAGTTGATCTAAAAATTATAATAAATTTACTCAATAAATTAAATTTTAATAATAATATTTTTTTGTCAGTTATATCGTGACAATGATGTCGCGATGTAACCTTTGCATTCAATATTTGAAACCTAACATTTTTCTTGTATGCGACACATTCTGCTTGCATGAAGCTCCTTTGCGTAGCAATCTGTGACCAGGAGAAGACAGGGGACAGCTCCCATGTTTGGTCAGGTGTCTTTTTCATGGATTTCATTATAATTATCTTTTTTTTTTTATTAAACTAGTTGATCTCTACCTATTTTTATAATTCCGATTTTTATTTTTTATTTTTTATTTTTTGGGCACATGAGGGAGACAACATAATAGGTATTCATTAATTAATTATGATGGAGTGTGGATTACTTAAAGGTAAAATTCCAAAAAACTTAAAATAACCCCCACATTCCGTGCTGAAGCAAACCATTGAAAATAATATTTATATTGCGAGGTTTTGAAGTGAATAGCGAATAACCCGAGCTGATAATTTAGTTGTAAATTGTATCCGTTTAAGATTGATTTTGACTTTCATGTAGTATCAAGTAAGATTTGATTCACGGGAATAAAAAAATTTGTTACTTGACTTTGGTGGTAGTGTAGCGACAAATTACCTTTCTAGGTTAATAGTTGTGACTCAAATCGAATATTATACAGTGAAAAAATTCTCATGGTTACGTTCCGGAGATAGGGAGATTACTATCTGTTGGTTGCCTTTTTCCATTTTTAGGCCGTTCAAAAAAAAAAAAAGTGAATAGTGACCAAGAACAAAAAAAAATGGGAGTGAATATCAAGCAATTAAAGCCATATTAACCTTTCTAAAGTTTGCGAAAAAAGGTGTTACAGGCGTTAAGTTGTTCCCCCTCCATAGGTGTGTGAAATATTAAATAATATTTTAAAATATTTATATTAAAAAAAAAATATATATATATATATATATATATATATATATATATATATATATATATATATATATATATATATATATATATAAATTTTTAATTAATCTTTAACATCTCATTTCAATTCACATATCATACATTACATTGACAAAAAAATTATACAACTTTGAAGAGCACACGATTGTTTTGTAAATATTATCTATTAATACATGTAAAATTAAAGAGCATAAAACAAATTAATTAAATTATAATCTTAGCAATAAATACTTCTAAGCAAACCAACTAAGTAAATATTAGTTTTAATTTGTCACTTCACTTAGTGAATGTACCATACTAATAAGACCTATACTTTTTCCAAAATTAAAAAATAGCCAATTTTGTTTATTATGTTAAAGATTTATTAAAATATATAATTATTAAGTTGGTAGATAATAGAAGAAATATAAAATATATTTTTTTATAGACTTATCCTAGTTGTATTCGTATTTTTTTTTAAATTGTATTATATCACCATGTCTATTCATAACCAATCAGCCAAAATCAACTAATATCGGTTGGGAATAAGATCCGTCAAGGGAAGCAATCGGCCAGCATTGGACGGACTTAGGGAGTAGCTAGCTTCTTCCTAATTCCTACTTAAGATATTAACATTTTGTTTCCGTATTCGTATCTATTTTTCATAGTATGACGCCATCTATAAAAAGATTCTCTTCTTTGTCGATCATCTATCATACATTAAAGTAAGAATTATTGTGTACAAGTAAGTCTCTCACTTTTTAATGATTGATGATCTGTTAAAAAGAGAATTAAAGAAAAAATATATTGTACCAGATCGAAGTCGTCAATATATCTAATTAATGGTTGCCAATTCAACCAATTAAAAAACATTCCCACAGCAATGGTTTATTTTTTAATCCCTAGAACAAAGAAATTGGGAATACTTAGTGGTGTTAATTTCACTCCATTTACAAGAACACCATAAGAAATTTCACACAAGGGCTCAAATTTTGTCATAAAGCATTGGGTCAATAGTACTTTTAGTCCGTAAAAAAAATATTTTTTTATCAATTTAGTCTTTATTGTATCAATTTTATTAATTTGATCCTTAAAATATTTAATTCGTGTCATTTTAGTCCATACATAGACGGACCGTCAAATTTTTTTTATGGAAGTGACCATATGTCATTTTTTTTATGATATCACGTGTCTAACTCGTGATCATTCTGTAAAAAACTTAATAGTTCGTCTATTTAAGGACCAAAATGACACAAATTGAATACTTTAGGATTAAATTAACAAAATTAATAAAATAAAGACTAAATTAATAAAAAATATATATTTTAAGGAATAAAAATACCATTAATCCTAAAACATATATCCCACAATGAACAGGTATCAATGGTACTACATATTCCCATTGCCACTGCCTTATCCTATAACTTAGAATATGCACTTAACCTGGAACCTATATAAAACTTTCCGGTTGGCAGTTCCTCAGGTGGAAGCAAGACTAGGTCAGCCCCGACGGCTGCGGCGGCATCTGCAGTATGATCACCCTTACCACGAGTCATCGATGTCTGCGTAAAACCTGGACAGAAGCAATTAACACTCAAACCGCGGCCTTGATAGCGTTTTGCCATGATCCTTGAGTATGCGTTCAGGGCAAGCTTTGACACGGCGTAATCGGTCCACACTTTTGGCCACCCTTTGCTTCGCCATGTGCCACTCTTCACATCATCAAGAAACGTAACGACCATGTCTTGGATGTGATCCTCCGACAGCCTTTCTTCATCACCAAGTGTCTCTCTTATACTTGGATTTTGGAGCTTCTGCAAAGGAGTACTTCATCAGACATGTTATTGTCCTTTGGATTCTGGAAGTATATATGATATACATGAGATCACAAACAAACAGAAAACAAATTACATAATATAACAGGAGTATGAGGCCCGGTAGAGCAAGTGAAGAAAACGTAAGGGCAGGGCACTCGACGAAAGGGGGCCACATCGAACGAGTATGAGAAATTGGCTCTGCTCGGCTTTTTTAAAAGCAAGGACCACTACTAGAGGTCAAACCAATGACCTATGCAAGTTGGGGCTTGCCCTTGGTCAATATTGGATCAAAAAATAGGGAGCCGGGTTATCAACATCTAATACTCATGAAAATTTTCAATGTAAGTTCTGTTGAACTCCCATTTGCTCTAAAAACTTAAGTTATTAGAGATGGTATATTAATTAGTTCAATAATTTCAAAAAGGGTTTTATATCATATAGGAGGTGAATTGGAGTGCAATAAAAGATATCCACCAAAGGTGCATGAATATTAATTCCTGCCTTCAGTTAGGGGTATCGACTTTGACCCGTCATACAAACTTTGACATGACACGATTATTAAATATGCAAAATAAATGATTTAGATTGATGTTTGATACTCAAAACGCACTAAATATATTTTTTTCGTGGGTCTTCACACAAACACGATAAGAATAACAATTACACGACACAAAAGTATGCGACACATAGGTCATACGATACGACACGAATTGACAGCCCCTACCTTCAGTGTTCAATTTCCTTTGAAATGCACCTGTATATGTTACAAATTAGGATGACAAAAGTATGATTAATTATAAACAAGGATGACAAAAGTAGAAAAAAAAATGTTCACGACTTACATTAAGTAGGCCGAGTCTTGAGCTAATATTAAGTATACGACTCATAGAAGCTGAGCGACGAAACATGGGCAAGAGGGTTTCAGTCAGTAATTTTGTTCCATAGAAATTTGTCTTCATCACTGTCTCGGCATGTTCTACCGAGTTCTCATGAATGTCATTGAAAGATACAGCTGCATTGTTTACCTGGAAAAAAAACATTTGGAAGGTAAATTTTCTATTAAACAATAGTTTCTATAACTCACCTCTTACAAATCTGTTTTTGCATATTTTCAAATTGTGGGAGTGTCAAAATTTTATTGAACTTAGATCCAAATACATACGATCTTACCTATTCGAATCGGTGTGAAGTTTTAAAATCGTGATTGTTCAAGCAAGTATAATGAGGCGTAAAGTTACCTTTGAGTTTTTTTTCTATGCCTTAAGGTTTAAGGACTTTGAATAATTTTCCAACTAATATCGTAATGGATTGAAACGTAAAAAAAATAAGTGGAATGCAAAGCATCAATTAGACTAAGTTTGAAAGATGAAATAAGTACTTTGCTTAATATTAAATGAAAGCAGTAAAAAATCATAGGAGTGATGGGTTAAAGAAAAAGTAAAGTTGCTCAAAAGTAAAAATAGGTAAGTATACGGTAGGGTAGCTCTGTGCAGTCTTTGTTGTGTTTGATCGTTGATCCCTTATCTGTGGCTTGACTTTTTTTTTTTTATAGGAATGACCTTCAACCATCAAAATCATTTTTTTCGGTCATCACTGTAATCATGACCTTTCTCTCGAGATGCATAAACGTGTATTAAACTGTCTCCAACTAACAGCTCATGGGGTCACGTCTTCTTACTTCTTGGGATTCTTAGAATTTTATTTCACTAACCGCTCTGTCAAAAATGGACTTTCACAGATTTTTTGGATCTCTTTCACGTGTCACATTCTAATTTTATTATTTTTGGGTGAAAACAAAATCATTCTAAAATACAAAACAACTAATTATAGGTGGTATTACTATAAACTTTACATACATGACTCTCTCTCTCTCTCACTCACTCACGCACTCTAACCCATATGTTTTGGGTCCCTGATCAATCTCAATTGAAGTTTGTGTCTAACCATTAAATCAACTAGTTGCTAAGATATTCGAGTTTGTCAAGTAATAACATAATGTAATTATCTATAGGATTGTCAATGAATCGGATTATTCGGTCTGAATTCAAATCCAATTAATTGACTATAGATTGACATTTTGTGTATCGATAATTTAAATATGAATTCGTACCCAAATCAATTATTTCATATTTAATTGATTCAGATTTGGATATATCCTTGTCCGGTTTGTTATAAATTAATCCAACTTACCATATATATTTATATAAATATGTTGTGAAATTAAGTGATTATTCGATAAAATTGTATTAAAAATTAGGTAAATTGTCTAATATATAACTTAAATTAGTTAGATCAGATCAAATTATCGGATCGAATATCGGCTTCTTAATTGATTAAGATGTTGACTATGAAAATAAAATCCGTCGAATAACATGATAGGATTTGGATGAGAAACTCTTTAATTGGATTCCAATTTGAATTAAAATTTGGTCTAAATTCGCATGTGTGTTTATTTCTTTCGCTTTTTAACTTCTTTCTATTGCTTTCTCTTCAAAACCTCTTTGAGCCATCAAGTTTGCTATCTAGTTCTACCTGTTCTGCTATTTTTTCACCACCATCGCAAGAAGCGTAAGATGGAAAAGAGTGAGCAAAGATTACTCTCAACATTTCATTTCTAATATGAACGATGCAGGTTTATTTATTTATTTTTAAGTTTAACGGTCAGGAGTGTCTACGTCAATTTAAAAGCACTTCTACTAATCTCTTCTCCGGTCCGGTCAAAGATAGAGTATTCATGCAAGAACTAGGATATTCATGAGAACAGGGGCAGAGTTAGGAATTTTGTTCGGGGTGGACACTTTAATTATGCACTCTAATTTTTTTTCCTCTAACCAATCACACTATATAACATATTTATATTTATTATATTATATTTGATATATAAAGTCCATTTAACATAAAAAATTCCAAAAGAAAAATGTATGCTGCCAGGGGCGGAGCCATGAATATCTATGATAGAGTCAAAATATAACTGGTATAAAAAAATATTAAGCCAAAATTAATACAAAAAAATTCAGTTCAAGAATAAACAGAAAGTAAGAATCAACACTAAATTATTGTGAAATAGTAAATTCAATTTTTATTTAGCCGAAACAAAATTTTAACAAAATAATTTTTTTAGTACATTTTAACCTAATTATATATTTCAATAAAATATAAAATTTTTTAAAATCTCTAAAATTTTGTATATGAATTAAATGTAAATTAATTTTCGTATTTTATTAGGTTATAGATTACTATTACTAAAAAAAGAGTAAATGAAAACTAAAAATTATTCTTAAAAAATAACGAACATTGTGTTAGATAAAGAAAAATATTGTATTTTTGTCAATACACAAATAAAACATTGACTCAATCCAAAACTAACATATTTATTTTAGTGGTCCACTAATTTATTAAAAAAAAAAAGACTAGAACCATTATTAAAATTTTCAATAATTTAGGGGTTAATATAATGTATAAAATAATTTTATAAGTTGGTGCAAGGAAAGTCAAAAAAACTCAAAGAAATGAGCTTCTTGTATGTTGAACTTTTTTCTATTTCTTCTCTTTTTCTTGTGGCTAGGCAGTGGGCAGTGGGCAACTGAGAGTGAGTGATACAAAGAGAAAAAAAAAAGATAAGATAGGTTTTAGTCAAGTGGGCCAAAAGTTTTGTTTTTAATGTTGGGCCAAAAATTTTGTTTTTTATTTTAGGCTAAAAGTTTTATTTTTTTAATAAGTTTGAGTGGATTGTGATAGGTCAAATATTTGATTTTTAAATAAGTTTGGATAGATAATAGTGAGTTCAATTTTTTTGTTTTAAATGAACTTAATTTTTTAATTATTTTGGGTAAATAATGTGGGCTTAATATAAATGAGGGGCACATTTAATATATATGTATAAATATATAATATATATATCTAACTAAGAAATTTTTTTTTTTGAGGGAGCACATGTCCACTCTGGCCCAACCTCCCTCTGCCTCTCCATGAAAACTCTAAACGGATGTTTGAGGTTATAGCTCGTCCCCATTATTACTTGAGATACCTTTGTCGTTGATGCGGGGTTATTTACGGTAAAAATAAATAACTTAGAAATTTACTCCTTGATATATGACGTATTTTGCATAGACTGTATTTGGAGCATGAGAGAGATAGACCATAGACTGTATTTGGAGCATGAGAGAGATAGAGAAAGAGATGTGATTGTGAATTCACTTACTAGTATATCAAGTACTCCAAATGTCTCTTGAAACCAGGATGCAAATGCTTTGATGGATACAAGTTCTGAGACATCAAGGCAAAAGAAGTGTACATGGAGTCCTTGATCTATGAGTGACTCAACTGCTTTGAGTCCCTTTACATTATCTCTGGCTGTTAAAATCACAGTTACTCCCAATTCTGCTAACCTTTTTACCAGTGCAAACCCAATACCCTTGTTTGCTCCCGTCACTACGGCCACCGTCTCTTTCGACCACCATCTGCAACTTCCATGCAAAATGATATTAGGTTAAGTATATAACACATATAAACGAGTATATATAAATACATGCTCAAACTTAGTCCCCGGTTGGTTTGCATTTCAGAAAATGTTTATCTGTTTTTGAAAACAGGTTTTGGGAAAAAACCTATTTGACCAACTACTTTTTGTTTTTATTTTTTGAAAACTGAAAACAAAAAGTGCATAAATTTATAGAATAAGTTAAAACTATTTTGTATGTTTTTTTTTCGGAAACAACCTTTCCAAAATTTAGAAAGAGCAATACTATTATCACATAATTGAGAGACGTAATTTAGTGACATAATAAGTTGTCATCAATGAAATGATAGTGAATTCATTTAATACTACAATGAGACACATAATTAAATGTATTTCACTACTATCATTTCATTAGTGACAACTCATTATGTCCTTAAATTACGTCCCTCAATTATGTCGCAATAACATTAGTGACAACTCATTATGTCCTTAAATTACGTCCCTCAATTATGTCGCAATAACATTAGTGATTTAGAAAACACCACCAATGCACTTCCACTACCACCACCACCAACATCACTACACTCCCACAACCACAACATTTCCATCACTATCATATTTCTATTTTTATTATTTTATGGTTATTGTCTAAATAAAATTTACTATTTTTTATTTCGTAGAACTATTTTTAAAATCACATAATTAAACAGGTTATGCGACATAAAAAACAGTGAAACAAACTTTTCTAAAACTTTCTAAAAACAATTTTGGAATACCATTTTTTGAAATACAAAACAAATGGGCCCTTTTCCATTGATTTTGGTCCTTGGTTAAAGACTGGTAGAATGGGGAGCCCCGAGCTTGGTGCCGGAAGTGCATCAATAGGTTTTCTTCAAACAACAGTCGAGGCGACAATATATACATGTATATATATATATATATAAAAAGAGAGAGAGAGAGAGAGAGAGAGAGAGAGAGAGAGAGATTACCTGCTTGTGGGAAGGGAAGGAGAAGATAAAATGGGTTCTGGATCTTTTGACACCATTGTTACAAATATTGCAGCTTGGCTATGGAAGGGAGAGAAGTGGCAGGCTGTCAGCCAATATATATAACCTTATTCAAGGCGCATGACGCGGTCACATTACATGAAGGGATTAAATTTTATTAGGATCCCCGATTGTTAACAAAATTATACGAGAACCCCTTCATATCTAAAAAAATAATATATAGACCTCCAGCTTTTGTGTGCCCTAACATAATCATACCTTTCAAGCTCTCATACCTGAAAAATAGTGTTTTAAATACTAAAGTTTTATTATTTTTTTTTAAATTTTAATTATGTCAAAACAAATAGAAAATGATTATTTCGTTATTGACTTGTAAAAAAAAATTCTGATTTGAGACCTCTTTATCATTTTTGACTATTAAGAGACGATGTTTGAGTTAAAACTCAAAAGGAATGTGCAGTTACATTTGTCATGAAAAACCCTCGTGGTGCGGAGTGTGTAAACCAAACACAATTTTTCAAAAGGGGGAGGGAAATCTGTCAAGAGGAAGGAGGGAAATTCCAAAGAGTTTTACGCCAAAATTGACTATCAATATTAAGTTGTTAACCTGCTCCATCAAACAAAATTCATTGCTATGCCATTTTTTCTTAAATATCTTGGCTATCCCAATAAATCACCGTAGTATTTTTCACTCATGTGCCGGACTAGTAATAGGCCATTGTTGCGACACCCCCAAGATAAAGTTCCGACTATAGTCCACCATGACGGCTAGTTTATTATCTTCTATTTGTTGTCAGTTGTTCACATGAAAGGCACTAAAACACGAGACACACTTGCAAACAAAACTATAGTTTTTTTTTGGGGTCATGTGTAGTTATTTCACTTTTAATACAACATTCTCCTTAGACTGACCCAACATTGAATTAAAGAAATAAGTGCTTTTTACCTTGATATATTATTACTTTTTTGCCAAGAACTGATTCTCAAAGAACATAGATAGTTCATTCCATGTGTATGTGCTCTTTAACCCTATATGATTGCCTATTTTTACATAGAATAACTAGTGTTGATGCTTTGTTTGCTTGGAATCCACTGTTTAGGTTGTAACAACATTCTAATTGTTATTTTCTGTTTCTTTGGTCAAGTCCCATTCTTTAGAAGCCTAGGCATGTTGAGAGGGAGGGGGGGGGGGGGGGGGACCTCTGCTTTGCTTTTGATTTTCTTTCCCATTTTTTATACTCAAAATCATGCACATACGATACATGTGCTGTCTAGAATAAGAAAATTGTTAGGAACCTTTGACAATTTTAAATGGATATGGTTATTCTAACTACTAGTTTTTAAAGAAATGGAATCTTGATAGTGTATTTGGTAGGATGAATGCAAAAATGGAAGGACGCAAGAAAAAAAAAACCTTACTTCCCACCTTTGTGTTGTGTTTGGTGGATGGACTTAAAATCCAAACATAATATAAGCATAAATTTAACTCTATAAAAAATAAAACATATAAAATCATTAGTTGATGAGAGTTTTTAAAAAATATTGTTTTAATCATTTGAATTTATAAAATATGATCAATTTTTGATATTGATTAATTTAATTTATTTTTAGAAAGAAAAGTCTTAATAAAAATTTTACATATTAAAACATGAATCCATATAAAAGCCTGTGTTTTTTTTTCCAAATGCATGTTTCGCTTATAAAATATTTTTAATTATAAAATCATACTTTCAATCAATTGTTCGAAAAAAGAGATCAAAAAGGTTATCTATTAAAAAAAATGTCTTAGCAAACTTGAATATGAAAGTTTAATTAGTAACCTTGCATCACAAAATGCGATAAAAATAATTTTTAAATAATATTATAGTAATATTGCATATATATTCTACCAAATATTGAAAAAGCCTTGTACAAAACATTCCCTTAGCACCCCAATTTTTCTCGAGTTGCCTCTGACTAATGCTTTAAGTCTTACTCTCAAAAAGGGTGGAAATTATTTTCAAAATCTCGCATTGGGAATAAGCATGGCCTGGACCTGGACTGTTTGAAGGGGTCGACTAATACTTAACCCAAGTACTTGGCTGAGGAAGAAAAGGGAAGAATAAAGGGTGAATAGTGGACTTATTTTGGCCCCAAAAATTTAAAGACTTGTTGGCTTAAAATATGGGCAGCATAGATCTCACTCTAGACACCATCGCCATTTTTACCATTCAATCGCCTTCGATTTGCACACACATACACACTCACACTGTTTTTAAGCTTTGGAAGAGAAATAATATCCGAAACTTTGTTTTAGACTAGTCATTGAAGGATATGTTAGTAGTGTGCAATTTCTTACCCTAATTATTGTTGAGCTGCTCCTCTATTTGATAAGTTTGAGCAAAAAATTCTCCTCCACAGATGACTAGGAGTTTAGATCTTGCGCAAAGCTACCTTCCCATCTCGCACAAGCTTCTTTGGCTGGACATTGACGTTTTTAAATTTTCAATTATGTGATTTTAACTAGTGTTTGTGTTTGATGCGCCAATTTTAGGTATGCATTTTATGAGGCATTTTTTGATGGTTGGGTTTCTATTTGATGCAACATTTTAGGTTGTTGCGATTGTTGGGTTTTTGTTGTTTGCATATACGGGACAACATTTTTTAAGTGAAAGCTAAAGAAATCTTCAGATGGTGCTTAATAGGTGAACGTGATTGGGTGTGAATTTAGTGATGCTTATGGTTGATGTCATTTAGTTATGCTTGATGTAGATGTTCTTCTTATACCTTTTTGTATTTGATGCGGTTATAAGATGTGAATCATATTGTGATGATGTTTTGTAGGTTACAACATGACATCTTCAAGTACGAAAGTAAGTAGTGGAGTTTTAATATTTCGTAATAGACAATGTAAATGTGGGATAAGAATAATGGTGACAATTTTAAAATTTGAAGGTAATCTAGGAAATCTGTAATTGTGCAGATGGTTGATGAAATTTTTTGTGTGGTTGAATCCTACTAATCTCATTGCTCTTGAAATTTCAAGTGACGTTAATGAAACAATAAGAGTTGAATAAGTTGCAATTAAGGAGGGATGAAATTTATAGTTGAGTGCAACGTTTTGAGTTATTACTATTACTATTCATGTTACTATCATGTTTTAATTTATTGATGTTGTTTATCATTGTACTGCTAAAATAATGTAATGGTTTACTTTCACTTAGGGGAATGATCCTTTCTTAACTATATAATGGTGTATTTTCATTTATGAAAAGTGACATGTTTAGTATTTGTGTGTTAGCATGTTGGATGACAGTGACATTGCAGAAAAATGATCTATTTAGTATTTGTGTGTTGGTTGGATAGCTTAGCATTGTTGGATGAAGATGGCATTGTAGGAAAATGAAATGTTTAGTATTTATGTGTGGGTTGAATAGCTTAGCATTGTTCGATGATGGTGACAATATGGAATGGTCTATTTCATTTATGGCATTGCATATTGGATATATTTAACATGTTAACTGAATACAAAACTAGATATGTCCAATAGAGTTACAAATCATTCATTAAAAAATATAGATACAATCATTGATCACAATACAATAGCTAGATACAATAACATCTCATAACTGGATGGAATACTAGTCTTAAACACAAAACAATACCATTTACATTGCAACTAAATCTTTTTAAACGCAATCTACAACACACTATTTTGAACCATAAACTAAATAACATTACAACCAAAGAAAGATTATAGATTATTCAATAAGGTGACTAGCATCCTTCAAAATGTCCTTCCACCTTACACTCCTGCTCTTCAAATATACTTGAAAAAATTATAGAAGTTAGAGTTTATCAAGAAGGATTTCGCATTGAATGAATGCATTTGTACTGTATCAAATGATATACTCTACATGAATTAGAATTGATCAATAGAAATAGAAGTGAGAAAATAACATTAAAATTAATGTATGAAAAAGCTAACTTACCTGAGCATTTTGTAAATTATTGGATGCTTGTGAAGATAATTGATGTGAACATATTTGTTGAGGTACCTTCACGACAAGTAATCCACAAATCAGTATTGTCATATGTTGAGTAGATGTAAAATAAGCATATAATGTTCGATGTGTCATACCTTGGACATATTAGAAGGTTGTGGAATTACTTTTTTTCCCTTTTTACTTGCTTCTTATGTCACGATTTTAGTCAACTCTAACATTTGTAATCACCATCCATCATTTTTAAACCTAAACCTTTCATTTGTAGAATGTTAGAGTCCACATTCTTACATGTGGTTTCAAAGGAAGCATTGTTTTCATTGCTATGTGATGCAAACATTTTTTTCTTGAAACAAATCATCAACATTACGATCACCAATTGATATGCACTTCCAAGATCAGCGCAACGAGTTGCTAATTATATCATTTTAGGACATAGTTGCTTATAACAAAATGATGTCACCAACTTAGGATCCTCCAAATTTGGTACTACACTAGTATCCAGTGTATGAGCATTCCTTACATCTTGTCCCCATCTCTTTAGTATGTATCGAACAAGAATTTACTTTATTTTCATTGTGTCCAACACTTTAAGTGCATGACTACATAACATTCTAACTATTTCAAACTTCTACAACTACATGGTGGAGATGTCTTTGAATTTATACATATCTAGAGATGATGCAGATATGTTTTTCATAGGAAAAGAGTTAAAAAGACAAAACACACACACACACACACACACACACGTGTCATATGGGGATTATAAGAGTAAACAAAATTCAAGGAAAATTTATGATATTTATCCAAAACTAGATGGAGATTTTTGATATTATAGACGAGGGCAGCCCAACATAAATTAGGCCTAAAACAAAAATTTCCCATGAGACCCCAATCAATATGTTAAGAAAATATTTTTTTTTATACTTATTAGACATTTTACAGAGAGTTATGATATAATTTAGCTTCAACATGTTAGTGATTTTGGGATCGGAGGAGATTAGATAATAAATTGGGTGCAATTATGAAGTCACAATCTTATAGATGAAATAAAT